CACAAATACAGCACACAATGACGTCCTTTTTAAAGACTATGCTTAGCCAAAACTGAAAAATTAGTGATGGCTGCAGACATAAGCATCTTACATAACATATCAACTTAATTATTTCTGAGGAATAAATAGGCAGACTACAGCAGGACTATAAGGTCCCTTTCACACAGGCTGTTGATAGCACCGCTGTGACATCCATGTCCGTACAGTTTTTTTGCGATGGAGGAAAAATCCAGAGTTTGACTTGCCCATAACTCTATTTCCAGTAGTCTTCCAGGACAGCATTATGAGAATGCTAGCTGCCTGATTCAGGGGCATTAATGCTTTCTGAGGCACTAACCTGGAACAACTATGCATATGAGGAATTATATTATTTTTATAAACACTGCCTGGGGAACCATATTAAAAAAAAAAACATATTTGCCCCACAGTTGGGCTCGAAAAACAACTTTAAAATAATTTAACTGTTTAAACCTGAAAACTAATTTTTTTGCCTTTAACTGGGGGGGCGCACGTCTCGGGGCTTCATACAAGCGATCCGCCGGCTCTATAGCCGGCGGATCGCTTGTATATTAACGGGCATCGCTGCAGCTTTTCAAATAGCGGGGATTTCCCGCTTGTGCGCCCGAGCGGGCAGATGTAACAGGACGTGTATACACGCCCAGTTACATCCAAGAAGCTCCCGGCAGGCCGTGTATACACAGCGGCTGGCCGGGAGGTAGTTAAAATACATGGAAGATTAAATAAATCTTTATAAATAATGACACTAAAAGAAATCCCTGTTTGTCCCAAAAAATCAATAAAATAAAAGCCAAAATTCTGTACAATAAGTAATAAAGGTATTGCTAAATTTACATGCCCATAGGTGAAATGTGAAAATGTCTCTGGAGGAAAACAAACAAACACTAAACCATACAATGTTATAACAGTCCCAGCTGGGGCCCTAAGACAGCATTTGGGCACCTTTCTCTTCTTTTCATACATGTTTTTGTACCTCCACTGCTGGTACTTTGCTATCATTTTTTTTTAAAATCTGTTAATAGCTTCACTATTCCTTATTTATTTGTAAGGACTATAGCTCACATTGGATTGGAGTTGTAGAAGTGTTTTGTATTTTATATAACAATTGTAAATAAAACGTACAGCAACACTTCCCAGTGGCATCTGTTTTAGGTTAGGGAATACAAAATATTTTATATTTTTTAGTTCACCTGTACAATATATGCATATATACACAATATTAGAATTGTTTCCTAATTTCTATACAGCAGAATATGAAGTCAGAAAATGATCTCTAGATCACGTCTCATTTAGATCACATTTCTGATCACTGCATTAATCTGGAATTATATTGTTTTGTTACTGATTAGTTGTTTTAATCAACTCTAAACTAATTTAAAAGTAAAATTAGTTGGAGAGTTGAGTGCAGTAGGAGGGCATTATGAGAGGAAAGTAGAAAAGAAAACTAAAAAGGGTAAGAGGAGAAAAGGGGAGGGAGAATGGGATGATAGAGGTACAAGGAAAGATTTGCTGAATATATATGTATGTGTGTATTATATATATATATATACACACACACACACACATATATATATATATATATCTCTAT